TACAAATATCGGATCGGGACTCAATATTGGATGATTGAGATTAGATCGGGGGCACAAAAAACCTGATTGGGACATCCCTATTATATACATACCTAATAAATTATATATCATTTTATAATTAATATAATAATAAATAAACATTTAATAAATGAAATATAAAGTATTACTAAATAAATATAATTAATAAATAAACATTGAATAAATATCTATAAAGAATTTTTTTTTTATTGAATACATATTGTTTATTTATATTTTTTAAATCTAGTTTATTTATATTTTTAAAACTAGTCGAAAAATGTGAAAAAAAAGTTTAAAATGTTTCTTTGCACATTCCTAATTACAAAGTGATGCTAATTTCCCATTTTCTGATCAGCCTGAAAACCTTGTGGTGGACCAGAGCCCCTCCCAGCCGATGGTGAAGCTGACTGATTTCGGCGATGCGGTGCAGCTGAACTCGACTCCCTATGTTCACCCACTGCTGGGTAGCCCAGAGTTTGCGCCCCCCGAGCTGGTTCTCGGGGATCCTGTCTCTCTCTCCTCTGACTTATGGAGTCTGGGCGTGGTGACGTACGTGATGCTGAGTGGGGCGTCTCCGTTCTTGGACGAGAGTGTGGAGGAGACGTGCCTCAACATCTGCCGCCTAGACTTCAGCTTCCCCGACGACTACTTCCAGGGTGTGAGCCAGGCAGCACGGGATTTCGTGTGCCTGCTTCTCAGGACCGAACCTTCCAAGCGGCCCCCGGCCGCCACCTGCCTGCAAGATCCCTGGCTGAGACCCGGAGGTGGCCGTCGCTCGGCTGAATGCATCGATACCTCTAGACTCATCTCTTTCATCGATCGGCGCAAACACCAGAACGACCTGCGGCCTCTTGGAGGCATAAGGGCCTTCCTGCAAAGCAGGCTACAGCCCAGGATCTGACCCGAGAAACATGATCTCATACTCTTTCTGATGCCAATTAAGAAGACTTCAGTCCTGAGCCTATCAAAATGTGTGCTGACAACCATCTGCCAATCAGAGCCTTCGTCGGCAGACGAGATTTTAGATTGATAGTCCTCTCCCAGTTTGATGCTGCCTTGTTTCCAGTTTAATGAAGACTTTTATGCAGAGATTAAAACAATGGAATATAAATATATATATAATATTTCTCTGATTTGCTGAATGATCAACAAATCTACATAAATGAAATAATATTTTGTGTAGAACAAATGTACCTGCACAAACGTGGCAGAGGTTTTTGAAGAAAGCGATGCAAATGCAATTTAGCAAGGAGAACAACCTTTTTTCCCTGTCTGTTTTGCCTGAGCCAGAGAGCAAGCGGCTGTTTTTGTGCTTTTACAATATTCGACTCTGAACATTTTTTAATGAACCTTTAGAGAAAAATGAAAAGCGCATAATAATTATGACATTTTCAGGTACATCCTTCAATAAAATCAGTTACATCAACTCAGTCTGGATGAACGCAACACAAATCGTGAGCAAATGAGTAGTTGAAGCGTTTTAAGTGAGCTTGTTTTGGTCTCATAGTGTAATTTGTTGCTTATTTCAACAATGATGATTCCGCCACGTTTAGCTGCGAAATTTTTAACGGCTGCTTTTTATTTACTACGACTAGAACAAATTGTGTTGTGCAATCTACAGATATATACGCCTTATTCTATACTATGTGTCTGCCCTCTTTCTTTCTTTTTAAATGCAATGTCACAAGGGTGGAGAGCAGAACTCCAATGCCAGACATCTGAGCTCATCAGCTTCAGACAGGACAGCATTGAACAATGACTGAATACTGTAAATGCACTCACGTTGTATCCGCTTCTTATCACGTGCAATGTTGCAGTTTCGATTGTTTATGCAACTATTTATGAAGACATTTGTTGTACCTTTAATAAAAACGTAGAATAGCACGTACTCTGTACTGCAGTTCTGCTATTGTTAATTTAATCGGGTCTTTGTATCATTAAGTATTAAAGCCCTGTCATCCTACAGGGTTGTTGTCTACATGGCACTTTTCTGTTGATATACATATTGGTATGCCAAAGCTCTCCATACTTTGAGAATTCGTTTTTCTTTTTCCTTCGATTGTTTATGCAACTATTTATGAAGACATCTGTTGTACCTTTAATAAAAACATAGAATAGCACGTACTCTGTACTGCAGTTCTGCTATTGTTAATTTAATCGGGTCTTTGTATCATTAAGTATTAAAGCCCTGTCATCCTACAGGGTTGTTGTCTACATGGCACTTTTCTGTTGATATACATATTGGTATGCCAAAGCTCTCCATACTTTGAGAATTAGTTTTTCTTTTTCTTTTTGTTCCCTGACACAAATTTTTCACCTTTAAGTTATATGCTTAAGTAGCTATGACTGGTTGTTTACATGAGTTATTCATAGCTTTACATTCGGGAAGAATTGTTTTTCTTAGTTTATTTTCCTCTGTGTCCATGTTATAGACATTTCACAGATCTTTACTGGAGTATTTCTGAAACGCACCTCCCATTTAGACTAAGCAGTCCTTGACATGGAAATAAATTTGTCTTAGCAAGATGTCATGGAAAAAAAATGTGAAGCCTTTAAATTATGATATTTATCTTCTCATATAGATAGTTTTAATGCAAATGTAGGTCCTTTTAGTTTTAAGGCGTCTGATAGTTTTGGTTAGTCATAAGAAGCTCTCAACAGTTTAAATCGTCACTGGAACGGCATTGGTATGCAGTTTGTAACCGTTGGCCTGTTGCTCCCAGTACGTTGGTTTCCAGTGATCCTCGCGTCATACATCAGTCAACTGTTATATTTGAGATTTTGAAGCATTATGAAACGTTTGAGTGGTGGACAGTGACTCTTTCCCGGTAGGAAGGAACATTAATTCATCTGTATAGACCCATATCATGTCCCCTAATTTATTTGTCATTGTAAAGTTGTACAGATGCCTTTACAGCGTGGGAACTTGGACTGGATACATTTTTAAAGTGTTTCATTGAATGTCTAATTTTAGTTCTGATCTCATTGTATTTTAATGTATGTATTATCATTTTAGACTTGTTTTATTTGGATTATTTTATACTCTTTGCATGTGTATATTTCTTTGTACAGAAACCATAAGTGTTTATGCGTTATGTGCTGTAAATATTTTCAGTTTTGTCATCAGTTATTTTGGAATTAAACATATGGAACATTCTCATGGCTGCTGTGCTTTACTTTGTTAGGGTTTCAATTTTTAAGATGTGAGGGACTTGCTGACTGAAAACAATGCAGATTTGTTATCACTATTTGAAGGTTTGGGTTGGGAGCCAAGAATTGCTTTCATTTATTAACAAAAAGAAAAGAAAATACTGGAACTTTTAGTATACGATAAGCTATCAGGCTATTCTGGTAACTGTATGCTGTGGCATAAGTCAAGACAATAGGTGCAATAGGTGATTGTATTCAGAAACATTTTTTGTTATGCTGGTTGAAAGTCTCTTCACATCCCGATAGCAATCATTAAGTTAAGTGGTCTAAATGTATTTATCTGTATTTATATATTCTGTGGAAGGCGTAGGACCAAGAAATGTTCGTCCAATCAAAACACTCGGTCCAAGTGTTTTAACTGGCTTTCCTACCTGCCTGTCAACATATGTATTAGCATACCTCTGCGCACCCTGTTCGCGCGTTCACGTACGCTGTGCAGACAGAGCCAGAATGGCAGACAAACATCAACAACCCGATCTTCCTTCCTGGTATTGTAGTACTTTTACTAACTGTACTATAAAGTTTTCTCACTGGTGACACATGATGTAGCCCAGCCCCGGAATTGGGAACCGCTGATGTAGCCTATTGTAGTAATGTTGTCTCTGGTATTCTGGTCTGTGTGAGCGTATGCGTTCAGGGGGGCGTGCCTTTGGACCGCGATTGCAGGGAGGGTGGGACGTTCGCTTTCAGCGCTATCAGGCTAAAGTTTTCCAAGATTTCCTACTGTACCTTTAATATTAACACATGGATGGTCATTATTTAACAGTTCAAATGAAAATCTGGCAACAAAGATCCAGACCTGGTTTCGAGGGAGAACCCGATTTCTCATGACATGTGATTCCCGAACAAATGATTCTTAAGAGCGTTATTTTTTTATGAATATAAAATAATAGAAATAAGTCAGAACAGTCTGTATAAACACATTAAATGCAATAAACACAGTAAATGCAATAAAATGTATTTTCCCCAAAATATCTCTTTCTCCAACATAATTGCTAATAGAAATTCATTAAGAAACCGGAATCAGAGGCGTAATCTTTAAATTCTGAATCCCATCTCCTCACACAATCAATGTCTACTTACCTACAGAATAACATGTAAGAAAATGTTATGCTATTATGCAGAAGAAAGCAGTGAGTTGTGTTGCACTGATGGTGAAACAGTTTTATAATACAAAACGTTTATGTGCAGGTTCATGTATAATGCAGTGGGCTGTAGGACTTTTATTGCGTCACACAGATGAACAGTGGTTGGCATTGTGTATAGACAATACGAGGAACAACATATAACATTGCACAGTAGTAACCAGCTATGCATTGTTTAGAGACAGACTTTGTTCTTAAATAACACAGTATTCCTTCATAATTACAGAACTGGAAGACAGAACTGAAGAATGTCAAAATGAGAACGATCCAGCTTGAGCTCAAATCAGTGTATAATATGAACCATAATGTAAAATCTGGCAATATTAAGACACTGAATATTTATGACATGAGCCCATATGCTAGACTCATCTGGCTGAATATAACTGCTTTACCTTAATAGAAACTTCTTGCATGACTAAAAGAGAACACATTTCTCAGAATGTTAATGGACCAGTGGGCAGAATATCACATCTGTTGCTGAATTTATACTGAAAGACCCCCTGTCTTCCTGTCTGTGTGTATTGCTGAATCAAATGCCTGTATAAGGATTCTCAATTAGTCATGTCACCATAATAATGAAGTTATCATTATCAAAGTCAGCAGATGGGTTTGCTAAGAGCTCTGGCGCATGCACGATATTATAGTCTACAATGTTTTATGCCCTAGCAGCAATATCTGTCTCACGCTTATTAACGCACACTAATCTCCATATATGTGTAGATGGATATTTGAGAAGCAAACATGCTATGATGTCTTGTAAATTGCGGTTTTGCCTGATTTACACATCAAGACATGAATAATTCAGCGCTGAATCCAAACCCATGTGCACTTTCGCCCCTGTGGTATTAGCTTCTTTACACTTCTAAAATCTCATATTTAAGATGTTTTTCTTTTTTATGTAAAAGAATAGCAAAGAAAGATTTTTAAATAATAATGGTAATAGTAATCAATTAAATAATTCAACATAACAGACACACAAAAAAAAGATTTATGTCAATGTTTGTGTACAATCTTATCAGTTCACAGATTACAATACCTTAAAACTTGAGCAGATTTTATTCTTATATATATATATTTTTTTTATTTATTTTTTTTTCCCAGCGCAACATAACCAACACACTATAACAGTTTCAACCAACGGTCCTGATGATAAACAGTCATCTTTGCCTTCGTATATTTGCCCTGAAGCTCACTTTAAGCTCTAGGTTACATGACCAAACCACTTCCAGCCTTTAAATTCTTATGGATTTTAAAGGGTCATTCAAAATTGCAGTAACTGATGTCTAGGGGTGCTCCGATCAGGGTTTTTGAGGCCGATTAGCGATCACAGAAAGCAGTATCTGCTGATACCGATCACCGATACCAATCTTTTTAAAGCCTTCTTTTTATAATTTATAACTATTTATAGTGATACTCCAATCAGGATTTTTAGACATTTATTCAGGGCCTGAATTTCATTTTTGAAAATGGGGGGGAATTCCCCTCTTAGGTGACTCTTGTGAGAGGGGAAGCAGCATGGACTGTGCTTTCACACAGGAGTCTGCAACTGATCCATGGTTAAACACAATAAATATAAACAACACATTATTCAATGCTTTTTACGTTTGCATTTACTTCTAGATTGATATATTAAGTTGCTCAAGCAAGTGTCAAAACATTTAAACTGCTTTTCTTACGTTATGTGTTGATAGTGAAACACAGTAGACTTTAATAATATGCATTTATGGTGTAATTACTAAATTTTCGTGTCAATTCATGTTCATATTTACTGCAAACAATGCGCTGTTACTTTAATTCAGGCTTGCAGAGCAGCAAAAATAGACTCGGTCTGGAAACGATCTCTGCACTGCTGCAGACGCACCGCTCCTGAACGCACTGCCGGGCCGCAACCGTGTACAGTGAACGCTTTAATCCATTAACCTGAGCGCGGAAAAAATACGCAGCACATACGCACTGCAAACGGAGTAATGTGAACCTGGCATTATGTGTGTGCGCTGGGAGTGTGCATGAGCGCACGGTCTCCAGGAGAGCGTGCGAGCGCTGAATGGTTAAACACTGGCAATAATTAAAATGTAATCGCTTGCAGCGCAGAAATAGACTCGGTGCGGAAACGATCTCTGCACTGCAGACTCACCGCTCCTGAAACCCACTGCCGCACCGCAACTGTGTGCAGTGTGAACGCTTTAATCCGTTAACATGAGCGCGGAAAAAATACGCACCACGTTTGCACTACAAACGGAGTAACGTGAATTTGGCATTATGTGTGTGCGCTGCGAGTGTGCATGAGCCCACGGTCTCCAGGAGAGCGCGCGAGCGCTGAATGGTTAAACACTGGCAAGAATTAAAAAGTAATGCAATTTATAAACTTTAGTGACGATGTGACACTGCCTCGATAGTGCAAGTGACAATTCCTGTGCCAACTGTGCAGCGTGCAGCTCGCTTATAGACAGACGCGATGTGTGGTGATTTGAAGCCATTTGCATATTTTGAGAGAGAAAGAGAGCGCGCGAGGTGATTCACTCACGCTGTTTGTGAAATTACGTCTCACACAAGGTTTTCAAATTACAAGTTATTTAATGAAGAAATATGAAGGCGAGTAGCCTACCACACCTTCAGCATTATAATTATCTTACCACGCCAGACAGAGACTGAGACGGTGCCGCTGCATGTCAAGTGCCAAACCTCTCACGGCAGCGTCATCAGCTTGAGATCGGTTTTTTGAGATCTGCCTTTTTAGAGACCGCCGATCAAACATCCCAACGTTATTATCGGCCGATAGTGATCGGTAGCACCCCTACTGATGTCCATTTTTGGTCTCATAGCATGAAAAACCATTTATTTTGGTTTGCTTCCTGTTATTCTAAAATGAGAGCAAATAGCAGTTGTTTTCAATTGTGAAGAAAGTGGCCTGTATCTGTACAATCTCTCTTAAACTTTATTTAACAGCCAACCTAACAGAATCAGACTTTGAAACAAAGACTGGAGTGGATTAAAATGCTTTAAAGCAATTTTAAACAACCTTAATCTCAACGGAATGCAGAGAACTGTCACAAATCTATTCTAGGTTATTTTTGGAATTAATTATTGGTCCTAAAACCTTCTTCTTCCCCCAATCCTGGTGTTCCTCTATCCTTTTAGCAGAATGTATGGAGTGCTGTCTGACTTGGTGTGTAATGATTCCCAAATGTAGGGAAAAAACAAAAGACACATCCTGATATTTCACTATATTAGACATTTGAGACAGCTACATTGTGATGCTGAGTGCATGTGTGCCTGTGAAGTGTGTCTTTAGAATACTGAGTCCTGAGTGCATCTGAGTCCTGTGGCTGTTATTTGAGGTCCACTCAAGGAGTGTAACGAGCTGGTTTCCACCAATAAGACAATATTGGCCAAATCTTCCAAACCAAAACTCCAGTGAAGATGTGTATTTGGACAGAGGGGGGGCAGTGGACACCTCTTTTTATGCATACGGTGTGAACAGATATTCAGAAGGCACTGGGGTTTGGTCGGTATGGTGGAAATCAGACTCTAACAAACCTGCAAAAGACCTGATTGACATTGCGGTTTAAATCATACAGTGAGGCGTACACTGCAGATCTCTACTTGCGGCGTCCGTGATGGTTGTGCATGTCTTCCATGGTGACTCTGCCCCACACACCGATCACAAACGTCTCGATCTCGCACTCATTTACACCACGAGCAATCCGGAAGTAACCATCCTCGCCCCAGTTCTTCCCCCATGAGTTGGCTGCAATCTGTGGAGTGAAGGAAAGATTGTTTAAAAGGTGTAAAATCTCCTGTTGAATAGAAAAGTCTTGTAGCATATCAGATGGATGTAATTTCTCACCCAGTATTTGTGTGTTCTGCCGTTGTAGTCTCTTTCCTCTCCCCATCTGGAAAAGTGCAATAAAAATCAATATGCTATTGTGCATTCACTAGACATTAGAATTCAAATCAGCCTTCTAAGAGTAGGCTCTAAAATAAAGGCCATCATTATCAGATTTTATGGAAAAGAATGGGAAAAGAAAAGATGTACACATCCAACTCTAGTTGGGAACAGATGCAGGAAATAAATTTAAAAAATAGATATGATATGACTATTTTGATTTTAGCAGTGATGAATATTCTGAGAGCTTTCAACTCAAAACCAACAATAAATCTGTGAAAAAATGGGAAAATCCTTATACTACCAAAATACATCCTGAAAATAGTGCTGTGTCCATTTCTCAGAGGAAGGACGTGAGCATCAGGAAGCAGCCTACTCCCGCCCCCTTAAATCTCCTCAAGTCAACAACAACCCGGTAGGTTGAACCTTTACCATGCCAAGAATTTCCTTATGCTTCTCCACCCGTCCTCCTGGTTCCTTGAGTATTTGGCTATTTTTGAGAGAAAGCCATTTACTCTTTAATGTCTTTTCATGTGAATTCAGAACATTCAGCTTGTCAAACATTAAATGTGTCAAGGGTTATTTATTTGTATATGTGGAATGCCTGGAATAAATATAGTTTAGTCCACATCTATTCTAAGGGAAGTTTTCCATCAGACTCGGGAACATATCATTCTGTTCCCAAATAATACTTATCTGACTTCCATCTCCACGGGGGGCTTAGGGGGGAGTTGGTATTCAGTACACTCAGAAAAATAACAAACAAAATCACCTAAAAAAAGCAATGTGCCTCCATATAAAATACACGGGAGAGTTGGAGGGTCAGAACCAGTGGCTGTATGAAAAGTGTGGCTCAGAGTTCTGCTACGCTCTTATCTCACCATGTTTTCTGTCCTTGGCTTTGGACAATGACAGACATACCACTGCATCCAACCAGCCTCTGACCTGCGCTGGGTTTAGGCCTCTCTGTCTGCACTGAACAATGCCATTTCCATTACACTGGACATCAAAAAGCTTTCCACAAACTTTCCCAGACCCTGGGCTTAGCCGAATGCACCACGGTAGGATTTTCCCAGTAAAAACACTGCTGCCCCCTGTATGCCAACTTCATAGGGCTATACAGTGTCCTCCGAACGTCTAGAGTAGTGCGAGAACCGCAGCGTCAGCGAGTGACAGCAGGCCAGGAGAAAAGCTGGGGTTCAGACAGACTCGCGATTTATATCGCCGTCACCACTGAAGCATGTCACACTCACAGACACCAGCGGCAGGTCAGCCGAGGTTACCAGACATACCTGGGGAACATGGCCTGACCCGACCGAGCCTCTCAATGTCTTACTAAACAATCACTGTCTGGGAAAGACTATAGTGCTTCTGTGCAGCTCAAGAACCACATTTATGCACAGCAAGAATCTCTCAGGCACATTTGTTGAAAAATGCTTCATTTTTGGAGACACTGTTTCAGAAGATTTCAAAACAAAAAACAAAACAAAATAGTGGTCCGAGTTGTATATTTTCCGCTCATTTCAACCATTTTTTATGACAAAGTAAAGTGAATCCTTACTATTGTTGATTTACAAGTGTTCTTTAAGCAGTTGAGTAAATTGGTAATTGATGAGCAAACTAATGTAGTAGTCTCTGTTGAGAAGCTGACTAAATGAGAAGTAGTGCTATTAAGGTGTGTTATGTATGAGTGAGTATAGCAAAACCAGACAAAGGCTTTGAGGGGTGTGTGTCTGGGGGTGGAACTGGAAGGCCAGTCATCCAGGTGTTTTGTCTGCTAGCAGTAACAAAAACATGTCAAGTGGGGCCATGATGGTTCTCTAAACGAGCTTATGTCTTAAATATTATCAAGTGCCTTCAAGGCAGGTTAATTCACTCCTCAGCCATCACGGTGATGCCCCCAGTCATGCAAACACAGCTCCTGTCTGCTTAAATGGGAAAGACCTAAAGATGTCCTAAAGAGTCAGTCAGTCAGTCAGTCAGTCTGTCTGTCTGTCTATCAGTATCAGAAAACGACAAATGGTGTAAGAGAGAGAGAGACCTTTTGTTGCCTAAGAACTTTCTCTGAAACACTGCCAGATAACTCATTCCACTTGCTTCCACCATTAGAGATGAAAGGTTATGCAATGCTAGAGCTTACCCTGTTATTCTAACAGAGTGCGTTGCATGTTTGCGGTACTCTGATGGTTTGTGGTAATTGACATCTGTATGTCGGTAAATTCCACTCTTGTACACAAAGAAATCCTCATGGACCTCCATGATGGCTAAAAAGGGAAAAACAAACATAACACACGTCCATTATGTATTTTTAAGCACACCATTTTTCAAAAAAGAATGCAAATGACAACAGTACAGTAATGAATAGAAGCCTTGAATTCATGTCCAAAATCTGATCTTTGTTTAATCAAATTGATCTTTGACCTTCGGACATCATTGAATCAAAAGCTGATCCCTCATTCTTATCACTCACTGTCATACTACAGGAAATGCTATGGCTGCTTTTTAAAGCCAAATTACGTAATATCCCGCAAGCTCACCCAAACATCTTGTTCCCTTGCAGATCAAAGTGAGATCAAAGTGACCGCTACTAATTGTATAAGAGTTCAAATAAGCAGAACTTCACATGGCATAAAGACCCACTGCTTAAATTCACATGGTCCAGGACAAAACTTTTGTGGGTGGGTACCTGCAGCAAACCTCCTGAGGACATCCATGATGGCATGTGAAGTAAAATCAGTTCAACATTCTGGAAGACACTGCATTATGAGAATTACCTGCACCCTCTAACACTTTGTGTTATTCCAGACATTACTACACTCTAAAAAAATGCTGGGTTAAATACAACCCAGTGCTGGGTAAAATAGGGACAAACCCAGCAATTGGGATACCTGGGGAACATGGCCTGACCCGACCGAGCCTCTCAATGTCTTACTAAACAATCACTGTCTGGGAAAGACTATAGTGCTTCTGTGCAGCTCAAGAACCACATTTATGCACAGCAAGAATCTCTCAGGCACATTTGTTGAAAAATGCTTCATTTTTGGAGACACTGTTTCAGAAGATTTCAAAACAAAAAACAAAACAAAATAGTGGTCCGAGTTGTATATTTTCCGCTCATTTCAACCATTTTTTATGACAAAGTAAAGTGAATCCTTACTATTGTTGATTTACAAGTGTTCTTTAAGCAGTTGAGTAAATTGGTAATTGATGAGCAAACTAATGTAGTAGTCTCTGTTGAGAAGCTGACTAAATGAGAAGTAGTGCTATTAAGGTGTGTTATGTATGAGTGAGTATAGCAAAACCAGACAAAGGCTTTGAGGGGTGTGTGTCTGGGGGTGGAACTGGAAGGCCAGTCATCCAGGTGTTTTGTCTGCTAGCAGTAACAAAAACATGTCAAGTGGGGCCATGATGGTTCTCTAAACGAGCTTATGTCTTAAATATTATCAAGTGCCTTCAAGGCAGGTTAATTCACTCCTCAGCCATCACGGTGATGCCCCCAGTCATGCAAACACAGCTCCTGTCTGCTTAAATGGGAAAGACCTAAAGATGTCCTAAAGAGTCAGTCAGTCAGTCAGTCAGTCAGTCTGTCTGTCTGTCTATCAGTATCAGAAAACGACAAATGGTGTAAGAGAGAGAGAGACCTTTTGTTGCCTAAGAACTTTCTCTGAAACACTGCCAGATAACTCATTCCACTTGCTTCCACCATTAGAGATGAAAGGTTATGCAATGCTAGAGCTTACCCTGTTATTCTAACAGAGTGCGTTGCATGTTTGCGGTACTCTGATGGTTTGTGGTAATTGACATCTGTATGTCGGTAAATTCCACTCTTGTACACAAAGAAATCCTCATGGACCTCCATGATGGCTAAAAAGGGAAAAACAAACATAACACACGTCCATTATGTATTTTTAAGCACACCATTTTTCAAAAAAGAATGCAAATGACAACAGTACAGTAATGAATAGAAGCCTTGAATTCATGTCCAAAATCTGATCTTTGTTTAATCAAATTGATCTTTGACCTTCGGACATCATTGAATCAAAAGCTGATCCCTCATTCTTATCACTCACTGTCATACTACAGGAAATGCTATGGCTGCTTTTTAAAGCCAAATTACGTAATATCCCGCAAGCTCACCCAAACATCTTGTTCCCTTGCAGATCAAAGTGAGATCAAAGTGACCGCTACTAATTGTATAAGAGTTCAAATAAGCAGAACTTCACATGGCATAAAGACCCACTGCTTAAATTCACATGGTCCAGGACAAAACTTTTGTGGGTGGGTACCTGCAGCAAACCTCCTGAGGACATCCATGATGGCATGTGAAGTAAAATCAGTTCAACATTCTGGAAGACACTGCATTATGAGAATTACCTGCACCCTCTAACACTTTGTGTTATTCCAGACATTACTACACTCTAAAAAAATGCTGGGTTAAATACAACCCAGTGCTGGGTAAAATAGGGACAAACCCAGCAATTGGGTTGTTTTGACCCAGCAGTTGGGTTACTACCCAGAAGGTTAGGTTAAACATTTAACCACTGGGTCAAAACAGCCCAATTGCTGGGTTTGTCCCTATTTTACCCAGCACTGGGTTGTATTTAACCCAGCATTTTTTAGAGTGTAGGAGATCCTAAGCAGTAAAAAGAGCCTAATGAACACACACACTCCTGCACATGAAGACTGTCTTTTCATCTCTTTCTCAATATAAGCCAGAGGTTAGGCAGAATTTTTGCAAAGATTAGAAGTGAAATCTGGCGTAAATCCAGTGTTCCCGCCTGTCTGGAACAATACAACAGAGCACTGGCACAGGATCACGAAGACGCTCTGAACAACACACAAACACACACCCTCTTCATATTACTGTAGGGGACTTTTCTCAAGAATTCACTGCATATATGATGAGTTTAGGCTTTTTGTCCAAACTAAATGCCGTATGGGCGTCTACAACATCCATGATGACTAATGCGACATAGACTGATCCTTGCTGACTGCATGAACAGTCATTAGGCATGTGCTTTTTACTATTCTTATCCTCTGGCTCACAGTATTGTGCAAACACACACACACACATGCTTCTGGAGAAATCCATACCTTGCACAGGGCCATTATCCATAATCTCTTTCATAATCTCATTCTCCTGTGAGTGGAAAAACAACATGTCAAATGAGTTCAGTTAGTGAGAATGAACAGCATATTCCAGCTTAACGCTATTTTTACACTGAAAATTCTGCATATATATTGCACCAAGAAAAGATATATGCATTTATAATGAAATTACTGAAATAATGATATGAAGTGAACTTTACAGTGTACTAATGCCTCTCCAGACAGTTGTGAGATATTCCTCCCTTTGGATTTGAGTTGAAGGGTTTTGACTGATGAAGAAATTTAACACAGAAAAGCACACAGATGCTGGGTGTGAGGGGGGAAAAACAGTAAATCACTGATGCTTTAACCATTGGTATTATGCGGGCAGAGGTCTGCATGTTTTATAGAGAATGTAATTCTAACGTGTCAGAACATACGGGATGCCTGATTATACATGAAACTTGTCCAATAAAACATCCTTTAAACAAGATAAAGTTACTTTAAAAACAGTATTATATAGGGTAATAAGACTTATTGTCATTTTCTAAAAGAAACTGATTTTCTGCTTGATTCGAGGGGTCAGCTGACTTACATTGGAGGACAGTCTGTATGGTGGGGTTGACTGGTAGATATCATTGTGGTAGCTGTAGCTATTGGGACAGTGTGCTGTGGCCTGCCTCTTTCCCCGGCCCACCGCTTGACTTTGCATCATACAGCGAGCCACATCAGCAGGAGTTTGCTGGGGCAGAGAGAAAGGGTAACACTCCTCTGTCACGACTCTGAGAGAAAAAGACAGATATTTAAATCAAAAAGATTGCCTGATATAATATTCTAATTATGTTAATGGTAGTATACATTGCAAAAACGATATGATGTCAAAGTCAAAGTATTATTTGTCAGATGTGCACAATCTTCACATCTTTGATGTTGTGCGTAAACGTAAGTGAATTACCCTCTTCTCCTTAGGTACCACCAGGCCCCATCGATACGCCCACCGGAGCAGCCACCCTGATGACGTGTGTCACAGGAAATCAGATTCTGAGGTGAGAGCTGAGGGGTCATGTGACCCATTGACTGAATAGAGATCCGGTCTGATGCAACAGCTAGTAGTGAGTCAGAGGGGTTCACATATAAGTGAAAGAACAGAACTGCATGATATAACATACACACAGTACTGTATTCTGCAGTGTTCTTCTGCTGTGGTCTGTGTCATGTCTTTTCTGACTCACCTGCAGTTGAGAAAGCCCAGGATGCATTGCAGTTCCCCTGGTCCAAGGGCTCATGGATTTTCCTTGGCCATTTGTCTGCTGCGTTAAAGTAACTTGGCAGATGATCATTTCCATTCATATTCATCTGCAACACATAAAGCAAGATTGAATGTTTTCTTTTTCTTTTATGGCTTAATGTCTGTGTTTGGCATTGAAGACATGAATAACACAGAATAAAGATTTCCATAAATGTATCCATGGTGTGATTATGAGTGATTTTGGTGGCATAATACAATCATTTCCATGTGTATTATTTTTCGCAGGACCAGTGGATGGATGAGAGGAAGTCTGGGTCTCCAAAGTCCAAGGTTTGCATGAGCAAAATACTGTAATAAAGCCTTAGTGTCGTTATATAACGGTGATTTGTTAATTTTGTAGGTTTTCAGAAGTACTCCAGTAAAAAAATCCAGAAATCTTGAGTTTCCAAATTGTTACACTCTAAAAAATGCTGGGTTAAAAAGGGACAAACCCAGCTATTGGGTTGTTTTGACCCAGCGGTCAAAACAACCCAATAGCTGGGTTTGTCGAAAAAGAAAAGAAAAGAAAAAAAAGTAGGTGTTTTTCACAGTTTCAAGATTTTAAAAATAACATATATAAAAGGAAAAACCATATGCTTTGTGAACATGTACATATAGTTGCATACATAATCCACTCCACTATGTATAATCAGTTAGCAATTATCACGTATTATTCTTAAGATTGGACTCCATCTTGCTTCAAAAATATTCATCTGAAGTCTAAGGGAATAAGTTATTTTTTCCATTTCGTAAATTTCTCGGATCCACTGTTCATATGTGGGTGGGACAGATTTGAGCCATTTAGACATGATACATTTTAGGGCTGCAGAAAATAATATTTAAAGTAGATAACTCAATCTCCTTTCCCTCATGCCTTCAGGTATCACTCCTAGAATAGCCACAGTTGGACCAAAAGGAATACCAATATGAAATATGTCTCCAAATACTTTATAGATATCTTCCCAGAATTGTTGTATCTTTGGGCAGGACCAAAAGATATGAGTGTGGTTTCCCAATAGGTCACCACACTCTCTCCAGCATCTGCTAGATGATCCTATTCGCATCTTTGCTACAATTTGTGGAGTGCGGAAGTATCTGGTAATAACTCTCCATTTAAATTCTCTCCATGTGTTTGCGTTAGTTACTTTATGGGCCTCGGAACATATATCTATCCAGTCCTCTTGTGTAATCTCTACCTGCATTTCAGCCTCCCATCGTTCCTTGTATGCAAAATAATTATATGGGTGAAGTGATAATCCCTGATATAATTTAGAAATAAGCCTCTTGTCAATCGTCCCCATCTGTATTTTCATCATTAACTTCTCTATTTCGTTTGGATTAATGATATTCTTCCACTCTTTATGTTTTGTAAGAAAATCTCTTATTTGTAAATATCTGTAAAAATCAGTTTTTGGTAACTTAAATTCTTCTACCAGTTGTTCAAATGACTTGAGATGGTCTTTACTAATAAGCTGATATATAAACTTTAGTCCATAATTTGCCCATTTTTTAAAACCAATATCTAGTGCAGATGGTATAAAGTTATTTATTGTACTTATACTAGATAGAGGAGAAATGGAATGAGTAATTTTCAATGAAGATCGTATCTTTTTCCATATTTTTAAAGTAACTCTTGTCCACTTACCCATTATCACATTTCCCCAGCTGAAATCTATGTAAGGGAGTGAAACCAGGGGATACTGACAGAGGCCTTTCTCTGTTTAACCAACGCGTATCCATATTATCCTTCAACCATGCCTCTACTGGTTTTAGCTGTGCTGCCCAATAATAGCATTTAAGATTTGGAAGACCTACTCCCCCATCAGCCTTCATAAGCTGTAATGTTTTATATTTTATTCTTGGCCTTTGGCCCTGCCCAAATAAATTTACAAATCTGCTTCTCCAATTTGACAAATACACACTTGGGAATTTCTACAGGTAACATTTGAAAAAGGTAGAGGAGTCTGGGTAATATATTAATTCGTATACTTTCAATACGGCCTAAAAAAGATAAGGGAGTTTCTGACCATCTTTGTAGGTCGCTATGAATACGGAAGTATCTGGTAATAACTTTCCATTTAAATTCTCTCCATGTGTTTGAGTTAGTTACTTTATGGGCCTCGGAACATATATTTATCCAGTCCTCTTGTGTAATCTCTACCTGCATTTCAGCCTCCCATCGTTCTTTGTATACAAAATAATTATATGGGTGAAGTGATAGCAATCCCTGATATAATTTAGAAATAAGCCTCTTGTCAATCGTCCCCATCTGTATTTTCATCATTAACTTCTCTATTTCGTTTGGATTAATGATATTCTTCCACTCTTTATGTTTTGTAAGAAAATCTCTTATTTGTAAATATCTGTAAAAATCAGTTTTTGGTAACTTAAATTCTTCTACCAGTTGTTCAAATGACTTGAGCCCAATAATAGCATTTAAGATTTGGAAGACCTACTCCCCCATCAGTTTTCATAAGCTGTAATGTTTTATATTTTATTCTTGGCCTTTGGCCCTGCCCAAATAAATTTACAAATCTGCTTCTCCAATTTGACAAATACACACTTGGGAATTTCTACAGGTAACATTTGAAAAAGGTAGAGGAGTCTGGGTAATATATTCATTCGTATACTTTCAATACGGCCTAAAAAAGATAAGGGAGTTTCTGACCATCTTTGTAGGTCGCTATGAATACATCTAATTAGTTTGGGGTAGTTTACTTCATATAAATCCTGTAGTAAAGGAGGAATATGAATCCCTAAATATTTAATGCCCTCTTTGGGCCACCTGAAACTGCTCTGTTTTATCACCCTTTTAGAAATTTGAGGTTTGTCCCTTTTTAACCCAGCATTTTTTTGAGTTTACCTGTTCCATCAATAATTTAAAAAAAAAGTCATAATTAGCCTTCCGCTTGTGATCGGAATAACCAAAATTGATGTAAATACCAGGTGTGAACACAAAACCCTAAACCTAACCTCAACAGGGTCACATTCATGCATGCTTTACACCTCCCAAATCTATAACTCTCCCCAGACCAATTTCAGTCATATATTACACCCCAAATTTTCAGAATGTCCTGAATAAGGAATGTATTAGTACTTTCTCTCATAAAGGCTCCTGTGTGCCTCTCCCTCTTTGGTAATGCACAGCTGCTGGTTGCCATCCTCCTACATTCCAGCCTGTGATATCGTCATGATTCTCCCTGACAACTACCAGATATGATCCTGTGGAATGCAGGTGCTTGTCAAGTGTCCGGCACTGCAGCGGTGAATTGTGGTGGTTAAAGGATCCCTGAAGGGCCACGGCTTGCAGCAACACTTGACCCAACAGGGAAAGCGAGCACTCACGCTGAGCAAAGAGAAAGTAAAGAGTGTGTGAGAGTTTTTGCTGCACTCAGACAACTCATTAGTGTACGTGCCAAGTGGATTTTAGGCAGATAGGGACTTCATAAACAACCCAGGCTTGACTCTAGAGACAGGTGGAGACGTGTTGGAGGATGTAGGTAGGAGAGAAAAGAGGAAGGGGAGGAAGATATGCGTATGGGTCCCTATCTAGTGAGGGTACTTTTTGAGACTATAAATGAATTGCACCCATCAACAGCATCAATCATTTCCAGCCTTCTCAAATTGTGGAATCTGCTCTTATGTAACGTGTTGGTGTGGATCAGGATCATGGGCAGCTTTTTGGAGAGAGCATCAGCGAGCCACATCAAATAGCACACATCCAGACGAACACATCTAGGATGCATTCACTGCACTGCACTGCAGCCAGCTGATGCATAGCAAAGATCAAACAACAGTCTGATTTCCGAATCCGGCCTTGTATTCTTGCTTTGATGATTCCTAACGGCATACTGCATTGCTCAGAGCATGAGAGCGGATAATCAGAGAGCCGTCAATGGGCATAAACATGAGATGAATAAAGAGATTATCTACATACTTGATTCTAACTGGTCAGTCGTGGCATTCTGGGAAAGCTTCATGTCTTTAGCACATGATCTCTTTATTCTCAAATTCAACTCAAATCAAGGTTTTATGTTCATTTATTTATTTAGTAAGTGGCTGTGAAATAAACAGAAATTAAACACAGCAAATTGTTTTCTTAAAATCAGTATTTTTTTATCTTGTTGTCCAGTAAAAATATCCTTAAAACAAAATTTCCTTTTTGTATAAAATAAGACGACATCACATCTATGTGTGTATATATATACAGTGGGTACGGAAAGTATTCAGACCCCCTTAAATTTTTCACTCTTTGTTATATTGCAGCCATTTGCTAAAATCATTTAAGTTAATTTTTTTTCCTCATTAATGTACACACAGCACCCCATATTGACAGAAAAACACAGAATTGTTGACATCTTTGCAGATTTATTAAAAAAGAAAAACTGAAAAATGCTCAGTATTTAGTAGAAGCACCCATTTGATCTAATACAGCCATGAGTCTTATTGGGAAAGATGCAACAAGTTTTTCACACATGGATTTGGGGATCCTCTGCCATTCCTCCTTGCAAATCCTCTCCAGTTCTGTCAGGTTGGATGGTAAACGTTGGTGGACAGCCATTTTTAGGTCTCTCCAGAGATGCTCAATTGGGTTTAAGTCAGGGCTCTGGCTGGGCCATTCAAGAACAGTCACAGAGTTGTTGAGAAGCCACTCCTTCGTTATTTTAGCTGTGTGCTTAGGGTCATTGTCTTGTTGGAAGGTAAACCTTAGTTCCAGTCTGAGGTCCTGAGCACTCTGGAGAAGGTTTTCGCCCAGGATATCCCTGTACTTGGCCGCATTCATCTTTCCCTCGATTGCAACCAGTCGTCCTGTCCCTGCAGCTGAAAAACACCCCCACAGCATGATGCTGCCACCACCATGCTTCACTGTTGGGACTGTATTGGACAGGTGCCTGGTTTTCTCCACACATACCGCTTAGAATTAAGGCCAAAAAGTTCTATCTTGGTCTCATCAGACCAGAGAATCTTATTTCTCACCATCTTGGAGTCCTTCAGGTGTTTTTTTAGCAAACTCCATGCGGGCTTTCATGTGTCTTGAACTGAGGAGAGGCTTCCGTCGGGCCACTCTGCCATAAAGCCCCGACTGGTGGAGGGCTGCAGTGATGGTTGACTTTCTACAACTTTCTCCCATCTCCCGACTGCATCTCTGGAGCTCAGCCACAGTGATCTTTGGGTTCTTCTTTACCTCTCTCACCAAGGCTCTTCTCCCCCGATAGCTCAGTTTGGCCAGACGGCCAGCTCTAGGAAGGGTTCTGGCCGTCCCAAACGTCTTCCATTTAAGGATTATGGAGGCCACCGTGCTCTTAGGAACCTTAAGTGCAGCAGAAATTTTTTTGTAACCTTGACCAGATCTGTGCCTTGCCACAATTCTGTCTCTGAGCTCTTCAGGCAATTCCTTTGACCTCATGATTCTCATTTGCTCTGACATGCACTGTGAGCTGTAAGGTCTTATATAGACAGGTGTGTGGCTTTCCTAATCAAGTCCAATCAGTATAATCAAACACAGCTGGACTCAAATGAAGGTGTAGAACCATCTCAAGGATGATCAGAACAAATGGACAGCACCTGAGTTAAATATATGAGTGTCACAGCAAAGGGTCTGAATACTTAAGACCATGTGATATTTCAGTTTTTCTTTTTTAATAAATCTGCAAAAATGTCAACAATTCTGTGTTTTTCTGTCAATATGGGGTGCTATGTGTACATTAATGAGGAAAAAAAATTAACTTAAATGATTTTAACAAATGGCTGCAATAATAACAAAGAGTGAAAAATTTAAGGGGGTCTGAATACTTTCCGTACCCACTGTATATATATATATATATATATTTCTATTTCTATTTCTATTTCTATCCATTTTCTTTTTCTTTTAGTAAATTAAATAAAATAATAAAGTATTGTTCCAAAGTTTAGGGTCAGTAAGATTTTTTTTTTATTAAAGAAATTAATACTTTTATCCAGCAAGATTCACATTAAAAAGTAATAAAAAATTACTGTAAATACACTTATGATGTTACAAAAAGAACCCTGTATCTCCTATTACATAAAAAGTATAATGTTTTTTATTCATTAATAATAAGAAATGTTTCTTGAGTGCCAAATCATTTTTCACATCATATTTCACAATATTACTGTTTTACTCTATTTTTGATCAAATAAATGCAGCTATGGAGACTTCTTTAAAAATAAAATGGAAATAATTTACCAACCCAAACATTTGAACCGTAGTGTAAACTTCACAAAATTTCAGTATATATACAGTAGTAAAACAAACCTATATGAAAACCGTAAGATGTATTCACTGAAATCAAGTTAGATATTATTATATGATTAGATATTTTTAGTGGAAAACAAGACCAAGTAAACCCTTCAGGATAGCGTGACGTTCCGCTTTGCATATGGGTCCTGCAATAATAAACGTCTGACTGTCTGTTTCACATGCCAGTAACATACTGGCTGCAGATGACTCTCACCTGGATCTCATTCATGTTCATAATGGTCCGTGAGGGGCGTTGTGTTCCCAGACGATACTGCAGACCCTCGTCCAGAGTCATACCCCAGAACTGACTGTAGTTTGTGGCCCTCCAACTGGACAGGTAAAAAGATAAAGAGACTAAGCAGGAGAGGGGAATAGATTTGTGCACTAGTTTATATATATTGAATACGGTAATGGCAGACTATATGGGATTCCTGATGCTTACCCATAACCTCTCCTGTTGATTTCCTGGATCATGTCATCCTCTATCAGACAGGCATGTTGCTCACATTCCCAGCGTCCATTTTGACCACATGTACTGTGGGAGACGAATATAAACTGTTAGTGAACACATCCGGAAAATTTAACAGTCCATACAAATAAAGTCCAAAATAAGGCCTGAACAAATACATGAAAAAAATAGTCAGTGAAAGGAAGTGATCTTCACAAATATTGCTTGTCAACCTCAGAATAAAAAAATAAATATTATATAATTTTCTGGTCATTTGATATGAGGTCTGCTGTTTTTAATATCCAAATAATAATCTTTAAAACTGTTCAAAACTCTGATGTGTGCACTTAATGCAAAAGATTATGGCAAAACACAAGCGTTTTACTATGAGTTTATCTGTTAACTACAGTCGAGTAGGTAAAGGTTACCATTTTAAGTGTGGAATATAAACATTTTTGTGTTTAAAATGATTTAAAACATTTAATCATGGTTAATTTTATGTTAGGACCGTATTTAAACCCCTCATTGTCCTTTCATTAACAGTTCCGTTTCTGAGGACTAAAGTAAATTGTAGATTAACTTTTAAAATAATAAACAACATAATGTGTTTATATAACTGTTTTAAAACAGACAGAGAAAATGTAGACAGACATCAGACCAAACCATAGAGTGAAACAATGAGGCAGTTCAGACATATTCTACATGTGAGACACAAAACGAGCAAGAGAGAGAAAGAGAGAGAGAGAGGGGTCTGTGAGCCTTTTAAGGCTGCAGCTCTTGAAGAAATATCAATTTTTAGTCAGCCTGTGCTATGGGAGGAGGTTCAGAAGGCCTGATGTTTGAGAGGAACGTGGATTAAAAGAGGAAGAGCAGAGGTGCACTGCTGCAGAGACATTACTAGAGAGCAGCGGGATGAGTTACAAAGAGGAGAATAGAATTCAACTTCAGCATGTTACCTGTCCAGCCCGTTTGTACTTCACACATGAATGATGCCTCAAATCGTGTGTGGCAAGGAGAGGTTTGCTATTATTTTGCGTGCTGTTGTTTTTTATTTGGGCCAGTATGCAACAACCTGGCAACCTCTGCACCTAAGCAACACTAGAACCAGAGCTCCTTCGTAACCACATAACAACACCCTGGCAACCATCCAGAACACCCTAGCAACGTAGCTATGGGTTTTGCACTCACATTTTTCTCTGTAAAAATCTAGTTGCACATAGCAGATCTTGTGACCTCTTCTTTCTGTCAGGTGACACAAATTCAAAGTCCTAGTGCTCAATCTTCACACAGTAGTTCAGATTGAGACATTAATTCACATACCAGTGCATGCTTGCTGGTTGAAAGTTACAAAAGGTCTTCAGAGTGCAAAGGTGTCAAGTGACCTGTTGTCAGCAGGAAGCTGAGTTTCTCATTCTGTCACGCTTCACTGTAATGCTCAAATCAGCATCCTGATACAAGCCTTAGACATGCCCTCTGTTACAGAGCAGACATATTTATGTGATTTCTCTGTGTGTACATTTCATAGTAATCTCTAAAAGATGACAGCAGGTTGAATGCATGGGCTCTGGCGGGGATTCATATAGCGCCTCTGATAGGGCCTATAGAAATGCAATGGCAAAAAGAGATTTAGATTGATTTACATCAACAACAGACTGAGTCACACATACAAACAAAAACACATCTGCAGGCAAATCACACAACATGAGAATCTTTGGGTACGAACATGAAAAAATCATCACAGCTAACATGAAAAAATCTTCTGGAAGCCAACAAAAACGGAAGCCAACAAAAACGGAAAATAAAATCTCAGAATCATGATTTTATTTCTTGCAATTGTAAGAAATTATTTCATTATTGCAACTTTGTCACAATATGCCTTCAAATTTCATTTCATGTCATTCCATTTAATATTGCATAAATGGATAGTTGAGTGTTTTAAATTTTAAGCAAATTAAAATGTTTAATGCAAATTTAAATGTAAAGTTTGTTACGTGACTTTAATTAGTGAAAGATTCCCACACATCTCTCCAGTTTCTCACAATTTTCACAGCAAATCTCAGCTGGAGGTAACGCAGCGCTCAATCAGCTAAAGTGCAAATAATTGCCTCTTCATGCAAAACAAAAATACAGCAATCCATCACCAATAAACAAAAGGGTCATTTCTTAGCCAAAGCAGTTAGTTTACTAATTTATATTCTATATACCACTGTATATTGAATTTCAGCATACAAAATTATGTATTCTCACATATTGGTCATTAACTAAGGAGGTTTATGTGTCAACTGACTTCTCAAACAGTGAAAGGCAATGTGCTTCGGCCATGGCCGGTGCGATGGATTAGATTCTATGAGGAGAGCTAATCCTATATTAGCGAGGGGGTTTATGTAAAAGGAGAGACACGTGGTAAATATTATGGATGTATATGTGCTGTACATTATCCTGAGGTGTGTTTGTACTGTTCACACTGTCGGGATCACAAGGGCGCTGAAGGTGAAGCATATGTATGGGAAGTCAGGAATGTGTGTAATCTTTTCAGGACCTGAGGGGTCCCACTGTCCTGCCCACTGAAGCAGCCCAGTCAAGACTCTCTCTCGGTCTGTGGATAAATCCTGCCAACATATGTGTTGATGTAGCCAAACCATGGCCTTGGATTGAGAGATCCACAGTGCCCTTGACAAGGCTGTTGTCAGTGCTATGAAAATACTGTTTGGAGAAAGAAAGAAAGAAAGAAAGAAAGGAGGATTTGTATACAGCTCTGACTAGATTTCAAACTCACCATAAATTACAGTTCTCTTTGTATGTTGCTCCTGAGTGAAACCTGTGGCCGTTCCTTTCACAAGAACCTGAAATCAACAAACAACAACAATTATGAATCAATCTGCAGTAGATTTAAAGAAGAACCACACGCACATACTAAACACTTGGATTAAAAGTTTGTGTGATGTAGTCTGTAGTGCCCACAGTGGAATGTTTTCTTGGCTTTCCATTGCTTTTCCAGAGACTCTGCTGTCGCCATGCCTTGACGAGCTTAATTAGAGATTGCCTGGCTGGAAATGGGCAGGCCATCTTTCCTCTCCTCCTAATATACTAAGTACAAACTACAGTGAGAATAAACTAAAGAGGAGTGGATGCATATGTAGGATGGCAGCGTTAGACTATAACAGACACACACATAAAATCTCATCATTACCTTAATCATGTATATAAAAATATTTCATTTCTGCACCATTAGTGGCACCAAATAGAATTACATAACAACACTGACTCACCCGAATGTTGGAAAATGGGAGGAGAGGAATGTTTGAAACTTATTTGGAAACAGGGTCACTGTTTGGCTGGTTAGTATGATTCAGTTGGCTACTGCTGGTAGATGTTGTAACTACACCATCTGGGCCCAAAATGCATCTTTCTCCATTAATGATAAATTAAAAGATATTCTTAATCTTTCATATGTGGCCACAATTAAACTAAAACAAGTGAACAAATTATTAAAACACTGCCATCATTTAATAAATCGTGAGAACAAATTCTTAATTTTTGGTCACAATATCTTTTATTTCTCTCCACACATCATGTGTGGGTCTGGCTTTTTTATTTTAATTTTTTTGCAAGTCACATACAAAGCCCAGTTTTTTGGAGGGCTCTCAAAAGTGTGATATGTGATATTTTCTCCTGTTTGCTGCCTTTCACGTTCAGGAAAAGTTTGGGAAAGACACTGTGGATGAATTTGCGACTGTGTGTAGCATAATACATTTTCAGAATTAATTTAGCAATTTTTGGTGTTGCCATTTGCACACTTCACTGTTAAGTACTCAAATTTTACTTGTGTTTGTTTATTTTTTATTAAACTAAATTACGTTGTTTATAGGAAAGTTTCAAGTTTAAACATCAAAAAGTTATGCTTTAGCTGCAATTGCTCAAAAATCTGAAATAATAGGAAGCATAAACTATCAGATGTTATTTTTACTGTATATGAAAGCGGCTTTCCAGAGGAAACATTTACTGAGATTTAGCAACACTCTGTGTCTGAGTAATGCTGAGCTGTGATCCGTGAAGTCATACCTGCCCCATAGACATGAGTGTCCCTCCTTTAGCAAACACACATTGCACACATACCTGTTGTGATCACTCCCTGCCCGTAGTCACCCTTTCCACCCCCTTCCCTCCTCGTACATTACAGGCATACTTTCTGCTGACCTCCATTCATTGCTCCCTGCCTTCCGCTCCACTGTTCTGCACTTTTCATGAGAATGCCACTGTTCTCTGCCCATTATTAGGTCCACGATTGAACATTTTACACCTCAGTGGCACTACACAACCACAGTGAAGTCCATGAAGCAAGAATGGCAGGAAAATATTAACAGGAAAGAATGTGGACTTGGTTTTCCATTATGTTTCTAGAAAAACACTAGCCTTTTCTTAACGGCGTAGACTTCAAACATTGGCTGTGAGCCAAAATTGTTAGCTAAGCATACCAATGTTTTTGGCTTTCTATCTTGATCAAAAATGATTAAGCCCAAACTACAGATCTTTTCTATAGGAGAACCTGGTTATACTGTATGTTTCTTGTCATGGAGGAGGCTAAAACAGGACTGAACCTTAAAGAGATTCTGCCATCTGGGGGTCCAAATTGACAAAAAAAAATTTAAATCATAAAAGTAGTCCATATGAATCATGCACCATATCTGAAGTCATAGAATAGCTTTGTATTAAGGAACATACTGAAAATTAAGTTGTTGCTGCATAGAAATATTGATATTGGCCCTAGATATGCTCATGAGAGGAGTAGCAATGTCTGAAAAAACAAATCCTTTTTAAGGTCAAATCTTTTCAAAAAATTAATTCATCTAGTTCACAAAGTGGACTGAATGTTTTGCTCACAAATTATATTGATCTGGTTCTCAAGTTCCCCTATTTCACCCATATTTGCAATGCCAGCAGCTACTTCGGGCAAGCAAGACCAACTCCTATCTGTTTAAGTTGGGAAATACTTAAATCTCTAAATCTGCTGGCCAAACTAAAAACAAAAACAAAAAACAAAAAAACAAAACCAAATTTCAAATCAGCATTAACGTCTAACATAAACTGTCTCATAAATGCTGTTTCTTACACTCAAATAGCTTTAAAAAAGCATATATTTCATGTAAATTATCAGTGAATAATGATTAGATTATCAGTAAATAATGACTTAAACTTTGGTCTGTTAATCACATGAAACTGTTGTTTGGATTTAGAAGACTTATAATATAGTGCCCTAGTCATATGCATCATTTTATGTTAAATTTATGGTGCTTTTGTGGATCGCTTTTGAAGTTTGAAAGTCTTAGTCCCTATTCATTGTGCAGGCAATTACATGGAAAAGAGTGACCAGCACTCTTAGACTCAGCAGTCTTCATAATTTCTCCAGAATTTACTTTGTCATTCAACTCACTGGGAGGGTATGGGGGAGTTGTTCCCAGGCAGTGGCTCCAGAAGTCAGGACAACAGTCGGACACGGTGCGGTTGCAGAACAGGTCGCAGTAACAGATGGTGTCCAGGTATGGCACAGTGCACTGGTCATTTCGCCCGGGGCAGCAGCCTCCTCTCCTCTGACAGTAGGAGCCAAAGGGGTCCCGGATCCCTCTGAGGTGCAGCGGGCTGGCCAGTTCTCTCTTAGTGCGGGACTGAGTCCTCGCCGACATTCCCCCTTCTGCCAGCAGGAGGAGCACTGTGATGGCGGACAGTATCATGAGCTTCAACATTGCTTATCTGTCATAAAGAAATCAATATAGCAAAACATCAGCCATTAGGGTCAACTTTCAAATCAGAATTGAATCTAATGCACCAATACAAAATTATGCTCCATCATACTAAAAAAAACCAACAACAATAAATATGATTACAGCTGAAATAACATTTTAGCATTTGATCGAAAACAGAAACGACAGAAATGGGAAACAGAACTTGGAGTGTTAGGCAGAGCAATGCAATTCCTAATGCCGATGGTTTGTTCTGCACTTTCCTGAAGCAGACTGAACTCGAGGCTATGAGCCAACAATCTGCAATATAAACATCACTGATAAACAGACCGTTCTACTTGTTCTTATTTTAATAATGCACTCATCCTGCAAACACAATAAGATCACAGCAGTAGAAGAGCACAGACAGAAGAGGTTAGAATCATCTGAGAAGAAACTGTTGGCAAACTCTTCACTTTGGTCCATGATTGAAACTTGTATTGTCTGTGTGCTTGGGTTACTGTGGGATGGTCCATACATTGAGGTGTGTCTAATAGAAAATAGAAAAGGTGGGGTCATGTGACTCAGGCCTCAAGTTAATCTAGACGTTCATCAGTCTTTATTTACTTGCTAAACTGTCCAGGAAAGATTCACAGCAGTGACTACTTCTATGTAAATATTGTCTTACACTAGGCTCTTACTTTTCAGAGAAAGCACAAAGGTCAAAATGAATGGTCATTGTCTATATTTGATCTCTCTTGAGACATTTTGTCATATTTATAATATTTGAGATAAAAGTAAACAGATATTCGCTGTACAGTTATCATGTCAACATACTTGGCACCATCATGGATCACATACTGAGCAATACAGAAAAAAATGTCTGTGGAAACTTAAACCCATAAATTAACCAAATATTACATAATCTACTTGGAGTGTTTACATTTAAACAGAATTCAAGAAATGTGCTTCATATGATTCAACATGTTCCAAAGCTGTATGTAATTGCTTAATTATTGTGCAAGGATAATTCATGTTTTGCATTCATTCTGCTAATCCGTTTAGTTTAGTTACCTGGTCCTCTTGAAATTATTTTGGAGAAATTAAACTATAAAACCCAATGGTAAATACTATAACTTTTTATTTTTGTTTACTTAAAAATTGTGTTTGTATTAAAATGTAAAGATAAGATAAAGAATGTTTGGTTTAAATAGGAAAATGGACCTGTTTATCTTCATAGGCCAAGAATAGCTGACATGGTGGAAATAATGTCAGTATCAAACTAATGGAGCCAAAACTTATAATTGTTACGGAAACAGCTACTTCCTGCAGTCAAAGCTAAGGCAGGCGCACAAACAGGGTAAGGATGTCTTATTAAGGCTGTCCATCTTTGATAACAAAATAGCCCATTTTCATGTAGATTTACACACAAAATGGGCCTCACAAGCATTATATACAGTGTGTCAAATATAAATAAGTATTTTTAGATTATATATGTATATATAGAATATATATTGCTGAAAAGTTTGGAATAATTCAGATATTTTAATGTTTTTGAAAGAAGTCTCTTATGCTCATCAAGGCTGCATTTGATCAAAAATACAGTAAAAGCAAAAATATTGAGAAATATTCATATTCATATTATATTAATATTAATATTCTTTTCTATTTAAATATATTTCAAAATTGCAATTATTTCTTTGGTGGCAAAGTTGAATTTTCAGCAGACTTTACTCCAGTCATCAAGTCAAGTCAAGTCACCTTTATTTGTATAGCGCTTTATACAATACTGATTGTGTCAAAGCAGCTTTACAGTGTCAAACAGGAAAATAGTTTGTCAATAATGCAAATGATCATCAGTGTCACATAATCCTACAGAAATTATTCTAATATACTGATTTGCTGCTCAATTAGTAATCATGGTTCTTATTATTAAACAAGTTTTTTTCTGGTAAATATCTTTGTGGAAACCATTAAACTTTTTTTCAGGATTATTTGATAAATAAAAAAATCCAAAATAACAGCATTTATTTCGAATAGAAATAGCATTATTAATGTATTTACTATGATTTTTGATCAACTTAATGCATCCTTGTTGAATAAATAAATTTAATTTCTTTTTAAAAAATCATCATAAAAAATAAATAAAAAATTAATTAATGCATTAATTACAAATAGTACCATGGTATGTTTCTGTACTTGTTTTTATACTTTTTGTAAATGTAATACCATGTTTTTTGGCAGAATTGGCAAAATTACATGGCCAAAAACACAGTAATACCAAGGAACCTTTGCGTACTTGTTTGTAAGGGATGTAAATACTATGAAATTTAAGTACAGAAATAATTTGATTCTATTGTACATTTCAACGTACTATGGTATTATTTCGCTGCCATCACTCCACCACGGTATTTTTAAAAAGCTAATAAATTAGAACACAAAATGTATAGTAGATTATTTGACGTTTCTAATTTATATATTCCAAAAAGACTCTAATGCATAGTTTTCCTTTATATTGCATACAATTGTCTAATGGATATAATTCATAAAGGCGTGTATTTATCTTTTTTAAGCATGAAATAATCATTTTCATGTTATGAAACATACAGTAAATTTGAAATATATGCTACAACACGTTCAAATCTATTATTGGCAAAGGCGGCAGATCTATAATATCTTGTAATATCCATTGTAACACTTGTAATATCCATCAATACTGATTGTGTCAAAGCAGCTTTACAGTGTCAAACAGGAAAATAGTTTGTCAATAATGCAAATGATCATCAGTGTCACATAATCCTACAGAAATTATTCTAATATACTGATTTGCTGCTCAATTAGTAATCATGGTTCTTATTATTAAACAAGTTTTTTTCTGGTAAATATCTTTGTGGAAACCATTAAACTTTTTTTCAGGATTATTATTTTTTTTAAATATAAATATATATATATATATATATATATATATATATATATATTTGTTTTTTTTTTATATAATATATGTTTCATGGATGCTTTTTCTAGCACAAACACAAGTACATAACGACAACAGCTTGAATCTGCTGCTATGAGTCTCAAACCTGTTTTTCGCTTGCAAATGACAAGTTTCGCGCATTTATTTGTTGTTTTTTGAAATAACATATGGCTTTAAAGTTATATAGCCTTTTAAAAATAGCCTTTTAAAGGTCATTGTTTGGGGCGGCCTTCCTCCTCTTTCTCCTCATTTAATTGATTAAATTACTGCTCCTCACTTTCACTGATCCTCCTCCCTGAGAACAATGTCTTGAGATCACACATAATGGTGCTCAAGCTGTCTGTTGTGGTCTCGGGTTAAAAAGAAAACAGACTTGACAAAGACGAGGGGCCGGCGAGCAAATTACAGAAATGGCATCATTAATTACCCAATCAGCCCACCAGGCACAATGTCCCCCATACAGACAAAAGAACAGCACCGGAAACAAAGTCCATTGCTGTGCAGTTTTCTGCATGACTGTGCCTTTAGTTGACCAGAGCTCAGCCTCACGCACACTGAAACATATGGCAGCAGTGTCAAAGAGGCATTTCAAAGACACTCTCACTGAGTGAAAGAAATGCTTGTTTGACCCTGTTGTCATGGCGATCACTCGGGTAAACATCAGTAATGATGTCGCTACAGTAATGTGGATATTTTGGCGTTTGAGGGCTGCCTGATGCTCGCCTGTTTGCTCTCGACGGGACTGTAGCATGTAGAGACGTGTTGACTTTTACATCACAAACAGCCTGTATGACACCTGATGTGACAGTAAAACTGCTCCTACTGCACACGTCGCTGAATTAGAGTCTGCTGTCTGACAAATGAATGATACAGCACTCTCTTTCATCAAGACTTACATCAGCACTTTTGATCACACAAAACTCAACCAACGAGCTGATAAAAGAAAGTACAGCATTATGGTCATATCTATAATCTTAGATACATGTACAGGTGGTTCAACACAACATACTGACGCAAACACCACAATCATAACAGGCTAAAAATACAAGACGACAATTAAAGCCATCTCCTCTCAGTTTTGTCTGCAAGATATTAATTTATAACATACAACTTTAACTTCACTAAGGTTTATTTTAACCAGTCTTTGAAAAAACATTTAAGGCTGATATTTAACGCCTTTGTGACACTTAGAATGACACTTGATGGACTTTGAGAGCAGGTCAGCTTCCATATACAGTATCAAATAACAGACAGATAGCAGACTAAGGAGACTTTCTAGCAGATTCCATGCATATCAGTTATGACACAGGTTCTTGAGCTGTCAAAGGAGTATAGCGCTTCAACCATAGCTTGAATCAGACCCCACCTATTTCTGATTTACATGTTTGGTAATACTGAAGGTGCAGACACCTGAGTTTCACCCATGCACTCTGATGACCTGAAAGATATTTGATATCATACATAATCTTCCCGCAGTTATTTACATGACTGTTTAACTCTTCATGTAGTTTACATAGTTGTATAAGACACACTTGCCGTTTAAATGCATCCACTAACCCTGTATTATCATATATTTCATATTCATATCATATTATATGTAATTTATCTGAATGTGGTATTATTCAGAATTGAAGAGTTATATAATAGATTTAATGAAGTAAACTTTTCAGACAAATAACTATAAATTTCATCATATTACTAAACAAAAAAAAACTAAATGTAAAGCAGCAATCTCCAATTAATGTTTGATTTCAACCAAATTATGCATTAAAAAATACAACATTAAATTAAATCCAACCTAACCTAAAGTTCAGCTAATTAAGTGTTTGGCTTTGTACACTAATAATGATTATTTTTATGGCTTTGTAATGTGAGTGTAATGATGAAGCATATAAATACATTAATATGGTACTAAACACAAAAAAAGACTAAAGAATAAAATGGTATTGATAGGCCAGACTTTAAATGCAACACTTAAATGGCTTGGAAAAAGGTTGAAGACTGATGTAGAATATTCTAGATTCAATAACAGTTGAAGTAAAATGAGAAATACTGCTTTTAATTTCATAACTTAAACTACTTTTACTTCATGAAACGACATCCTTGGTACAGAGGACAATGATTATTGTATAGAGCTGTGCTGCCTGTCTGCTGCTCTTAATTACGCACCTGTTTGACACACTTGCATTAGAATAGGGAGGGAGGAGGTTACACAGAAAGCACAGGATTTAAATAGCTGGAACAAAAAAAAATCCCCCACCTTGTTTAGTGAAATCAAATCCTTCCTCTGGTTATATCCAGTGATCAAAATGTGAGCTGGTCTGTTTCAGCTACAGGTCAAAGAACTGAACACAGTCGCACACTCACCGTCTTCAGCCTCCTGTCTGGCCCCTAGTCACACTCTGATTTTCCCTCTCTATATAGAGCCAGGACAAGCCCTCCGACCCACCCCTCCTGCTTTTGCCCTCCCTCTTTTTACTTTCTGTACCTCTCTCCCTCCCACACATCCAGACACAACACTTACACACACACACAGACATGGGAGCTACTTTAGGTTAAACCCCTTTCCTTGAGGGTTTTGAATGCTTGTATCAGGTTTGGGGCACTTTATCTTTCCATGCCACACTTTTCCGGTTGGTTAAATCATTATGGATCATTATGTTATCTGTCTCACACCACTGTACTTCTCTTTCTTGTTTTTCAATGAACACAAAGGTCATTTCAGAGGTAGGTTCTTCCCTCACCACCTGCTGGCCAGCCAGAAAACTACATTTACAATTCACATTACATCACATCAACTGATGATGTCTCCGGCAACTGATCTTCATTACGCAATTTGACACATTTCTGCGCATGTTGCAATTCACTTTACAACACGAGCTGGCATGCCCTTTACAAGCTTTGAAAAGAGGATACTTTATAGTCAGGCGCGGATTAACGCACAGGCTTGCCTAGGCTGCAGCCTAGGGGCCCCACGTATGCAGGGGCCTCGGATTGGCCGGACTATTTTTTATTATTTTAAATTTTCTTCAGCTCGAACAAAAAAGACCCTCAATGGCCCATAAGAAACATCAAATGAGTTTTCGTTGCAGAGCGTCTGACAAAATTAATGTCTTGTATTGTAGAAAGCACGTTCAGCATTCGCACGCACATTCAGAAGCGATTGTAATACCCCGCGTTCTCAGAGTGACGCCTTGATGCGCGCAAATTAGGCTACATGACATATCTAGGCTGTTATTCGTATGTATGCTATAATAGGTTGTGTAGTTGTCTATTGCAGTGGTTCTCAAATAGGGGTAACGCCACCCTAGGGGTACTGCAGGGGGTACGTGAGAGAAAGTGGAAACTGCCATTTAGGAATAAATCATGAAAATAGGCTATTGTATTTTTATATGAAATTAGGACTACACAAAGATGCATTAAAAATGAAGTCATAAATTGAAAATGCATTTCAATTTATTAGAGTTATTTATTGAGAACCGGATCCGGCATCAGGAGCAGTGTCTGCGCGCGAAATAATGTAGGTTTATGAGAGGTTGCGATAAAATGGACAGGTGGCTTCTTAAAAGAGGACAAGCTCCTCTGACAGAAGACGAAAAAAAAAAAGCCCAAACCAGAGCCTCAAAAATACTGTCAGTTTCGTGATGAATACATAGGGATGGGATTTACATCTACTTCACAGTTCACCTTACTATTTGCGTGTGGACCATGTATGGCACTAAATCAATTTCTCCAGTAAAGCATGATGATTAAGGGGGAGCCTCACACAAAGAGCAGCCTAGGGGCCCCTGACCACCTTAATCCGCCCCTGTTTATAGTGCCGGTTCCACTTCAGAATCAGTGGTTCTGTCTTCAGATAACTTTTTCCGAGTTGAGTGTTGTCGCAATGTGTTTATCAGAAGAGTCTTCCTAAATTGGACAGGATGCGAATATATGCCACATTCTAAAAAAACGATATTATAATGCATGTGTTAGATAAACTATAACATGAGAATTAGCCTAGTATGGAACATACTTTGTCTTTGTCTTGTTCCAGAGGCCTCAGAGGCTGGGAACTTTTTGACTGTACATAATTAAACTCATACAACGTCATAATTTAGACATAATCTATTGAACTGATATTCAATTCATTGTATAAAAAAAATTTGAATTATAACTAATTTTAATTTAGAAAAGACTGTACTGTGTGATTTTGCACCAACTTTGCACAAAACCAGTCTTAAGTCGCTGGGGTATATTTGTAGCAATAGCCAAAAAAACATTGTATGGGTCAAAATTATCGATTTAATTGACCCTTATGACTAGTTTTGTGGTCCAGGGTCACATTTATTTCCCAAGCTAAATCATAATTTTATCATTTATAATATTTATAAAATATTTTGTAACTTGCTAAATTATATATATCTATATATACTACCAGTCAAAAGTTTTTTAATAATAATAAATGTTTTTTGAGCAGCAAATCAGAATATTAGAATGATTTCTGAAGGATCATGTGACACTGAAGACATGAGTAATGATGCTAAAAAATCAGTTTTGAAATCACAGGAACAAATTACATTTTAAAATATATTCAAATAGAAAGCAGTTATTTTAAATAGTAAAAATATTTCACAATATTACAGCTTTTGCTGTATTTTGGATCAAATAAATGCAGGCTTGGTGAGCAGAAAAGGATTCTTTAAAAGACAATAAAAAATCTTACTGTTTAAAAAATTTTGACTGGTAGTGTAATTTTAGCAACAACTTCAAACCTCCGAATATGAACGGAAAACAGATTTTGAGGTTGACGACCAACATTTTCTAAAGGTGAAGCACTCTTTTTCACTGAACATGGCAGAAAAAAAACTTCTGACCCTACTAATGGAAAGTGCCATACGGTGTTGAGAAAAAAAGCCTCCACACCACAAATTTGCATGCATGCTTCCTCTTGTGACTACTTGCATTGACCTACATTGGTGGTATTGTTTGAATTGTTCATGTGAGTCATGTACAGTAACCTCCTACATATATCAGTAACATTACATTGAAGCAGCTTGAGTGAATGAGTCAGACTGAGAGCCCACCACATATTTACATTTAGCCACAGATGTGAGCAAAGAAGTATGCAACCGCATGGGCTGAGATAACCCTGAGTGTTCCTATTGGCGACCCTATTCTTATTCATTAGCCTTTGCTATGAGTTACTGTACATGCATGTGTGATTCAGAGACTACGCACGATGATTCACATAATGCACATGATAAAGATTTCACAAGGGAGTGTGGATATACAAGACCTGTGAGTCAGAAAGTAGCCGATTCACTATATCAATGTCCGTTTTTCCATCAAGAATGAAAAATCAGTTCCCAAAAACACTGCTGATAGTGCATGCGTCAAAGAAAGTTGGTAAAGGGTCTGACATGTGGCCCATCGTAAAGTCATTCTGGAACAATCTGGCTCTTTCTCCTTGAGCAGAAAAAACCCCACAAAAGACCCTCAGAACAGATGCAATGTGTCAGCATGACAACAGGCTCTCAATACTCCTCTCTAACAACTGCTCTTGTGCATGTTTGTTGGCATGTTTTAGAGTTCAGTAGCCTATCAGAGCCACAAATGAGTCAGAAATGACAGAAGCTCATGGAGCGGTTTTAACTACAAACTAGTCCTAGTCAAAAGGACAAAGTGTCCTGAACCGTTCTCGTGGAAATATCCAAAAGAATTTGGCTTCAGTTCATGTGTCCCCAGGAACACCACACCTATAATTTTGTAGATCGTCATGTTCTAGATTTAAATAGAAAAGAGAAAAAACAAATATGCTCTGTTGTTCTAATTTTAAGTTCAAATACATTTTCAATAAAAATAAAAGCACACCATTTGTATGTTGTTTTCCTTTGAAATGTGTAAACACTAAGGCTCTGGGCTGCTATCAAATCATTTCTCTGTTTGTCATCCCAACCAACACAAAATTGCAACATCGACTCAACCAATGACATGAGTCTAGAGGCAGACTATCCATTTGCCTGACCACTTATGGGAGTGTTTGGGGAAACCTGTATGAAAACAGTCATTAATACCAATTCTGACACAAATATCACAAAGTTCACTTTTAACTATGACAAAATGATCAGAACATGCATTAGCTGAGGTGCTGCAGTCACAGCTATGTTAACAACTTGGACTGCTTCTTTCCCACAATAAAACAGCTATTCTGCACAAAGTGCACACCTATCTCGGAGCGTCCTTTGTTCAGAAAGACATCACATTTGTGGCCTAGTCATGATGTGAAGCATTTATTACTTCAGAGAAAAGACTGAGATAAGAGATTGCGTTTTACTCTCAGTTTCTCTTTACCGAGCTACTATTCTAGGTTTTTAACATTTACAACCTAATAATAATAATCTAATAAAATCCTACTGAATGAATGAATGAATATTTTTTAGTTTGTAGAGGATTTTTGTTTGATCCCATTAGGAATGGTTTAAATTTATGAAAGATGTTCCTTTAACAGTCCTTTTGTAAAGCTTATATACAATGTGAATTTAGGCTTGAACACCTCAATCGAGTATTCCATGATTCAAACATGATTGAGAAATCTTTTTATTGAAGAACTGACAAAGTGCAGACAGTTTTATAGGAATATCTCATTATAATCTGTATGACATATTCACTTAATTTAGCCAATCATTCAGCAGGTCGGTCTGCAGACTCTTTCCATAAGCGTCTGACTTAGTTAAACTTACACAGTTTTCACTTTGATTTTACTTGTATGATTATTTCTACACACTTTTAGCAGGCCTGGACCTGCTCTCATCCCCCTTGTTTTCTTCAGTTTCTTCAGTTTATAGCGGCTCTGCATTCTTAAGTTGTACCTGAACTCATTTTTCAACTTTGTTGATGATTACTCAACATTCAAGCACAACTTAGGCATGTTGCCATTTCTAATGTCGACTGCAATGTGTGGGAGCTCTTGCTTTTTCTACCAAGTTAACATCCTCTATTTCTCGCTCTCATTTAAAGTGATAGTTAAGAATTCTGTCCTTGTTTACTCACCCATTTGACTTTTGTGGAACACAAAACAAATTAAAAAAGCCTAAGCTGGTTTGCTGGTCTTAGTTAGTCTCTCAGTTTTCAGCTGATCAGGTAAGGAGACCAGCTGGCTGCTCATCTAAACTAAATAGCAGCTCAGTTCAGGTTTGGAGACCATCTTAAACCAGCTAGGACCAACTAAGTAGCTTAGGCTGGTTAAAACAGGTTGTTTTCAAAAGAACTAGTGAAAACCAACAAACTTCCTCATAACGTATGCATAAATGTGCTGATATGAGGCCAGAGAGATCACAGCTTTACAGAACTTTGCTTGTGATGTTACATTTATCTCCTCTTTCTGTTCAGTGCCTATAACATTCT